AAGAAAAAGTACTGGTGATATTATTGATGAACGTTTTTCTTATAACATTTCTTTTTTTTTGGTACTAGGAGTTGAACTCATGACCTTGTGTTTGCCAGTCAGGTGCTGTCACTGAGATATACCCTAGGCCAAAGTTCATTTTTATATTACATATTTTACTATGAAAACAGATTGATATGGCATTGCATGCCATGCTGGCCCACCTCCATGCATGCTGAGCAAGCGATGGAGTCCGGGCGGACGTGGGGCACACGCCTGTAATCCCAGCACCAAGGAGGCAGAAATCAGGAGGATCATTATGAGTCCAAGCTGCATAGTGAGACCGTGCACAAAAACAACAACCACAACAAAAAAGATTGATAAAAAGTAAATTTAGAAAATAACATTAAATCATAGAGGCTGAGACAGCAAGATCGTTGGGAGTTCAAGACCAGCCTGGGCTACAAAGTGAGCCAAGGCCGGCCTTAACTGCAGAGTGAGATTCTGTCTAAAAAAAACCAAACCAAAAATATTCATTATAGTCTGATTTCTTACCTCTAAGTAAGTTGCATTTAAATTTTCCATGTAAGCCTTTTTCATTTTTTCTGGTGTTGAGCACTGAACTCAGGGACTTCTCACTGTCCCGCACCCAAAAGCCAGCTCCAGGAACCTAATTTTTATTTTGAGCTGGGTCTTATTAGGTTGCTAAATTACCCAGGCTGGGCTCAAACTTGTGATCCCTCCTACGTGAGCATGGCAGAGGGCTGGGGTGCAGGCTTAGGCCACCACTCCTCTCCCCGGGCTCATCTTTATACACTGTGACTTTCCTGAGCATTAGTAATGCACTTGCTGTTTCTAAAAGCTAATATGTATTGATGGATAATATAAAAAATATGTTTGTAGTTAGCTCAGCTGGGTTAGGTTTTATTTATTTAATGTATTTAGTACAGGGTCTCACTACACAGATTGGACTCGCAGTGATCCCCGTTTTCAGCCTCCCATGCAGTGGGATTACAGGCGTGTACCACCACACCCAGTCTCAATCTCCTGTCTCTGCGTGCCCAAAGGGCGGGGCCAGCAAGGCAGGCCAGGGATCCAACCCCAGCCCTTGCGTCTGCCTAAGCAGGCACTTTAATCTACTGAGCTATCTGGCCAGCCCTTGGCTTGTTTAAAAGTTTAGGTTTTGCTTTACGGATACCATTTATTTCAATTGTCTTTCACCAATCTGCCTCTATAATAATGTGGCAAATCATTTTGACTTCTTTAAATTTACATGTAATACACTGTACAAAATACATGTAATACACTAGACAAAAGGTGTACGGGAAACTGCCTGATATACAGTAGGGGCTTGGGGGGGGCCTGCTGGTTAGCTCAGTTGTTTAAGCACCTGCTCATGCAAACAGTCAGGTGCAGGACACCGTGGTTCGATCCCCACCTCCACCTGCCTTAGCAGACCTGCCCTTAAGGCAGCCTGAGCCAGCTCCCCTCCACAAAAAAAATCCTACAGTAGGGGCTCAAGTTCTTAAATTAAAATGTAGAAATTACCAGTTAGGCATGGTGACACATGCCTGTAATTCCAGCACTCGGGAAGGCCGAGGCAGGAAGCTCAGGGAAGCTGAGTTCAAGCCCAGTCTGTGAAATTTATCAATGTAGTGAGATGGTGTCTCAAAAACTTTTTATTTTATTTATTTATTTATTTTTTTACAGACTTCATTCATTTTATTTTTGCATAAAAACCCTTTATGTTGTAGCTACTGCTGGAGCGTGAGTCCTCTGGACAGAGACTCTGGTGCAGGTTTTCACAAGATGGTCAGTGAATTGCTGATAGGGAGACTTGGTGAACACAGTCTCTTTCCGAAGGTCAGGGGTCAGATAGCGGCAGGTCTTGGGAGATGGCATCAAAGGTGGCCTTAGCAAAGTTGCCCAAAGTAGCAGTGCAGCCCCTAGCAGAGGTGTAGCAGTCATCAATAGCAGCCATCAGCAGCAGTTTCTTGGGCACAGGGGCTGAGACAATGCCAGTGCCTCTGGGGGCAGGGATCAGACGCACCAACACAGAGCCACAGCGGCCTGTCACCTTGCAAGGAACAGTGTGGGGCTTGCCGATCTTGTTTCCCCAGTAGCCTCTCCTCACGGGGACAATGGAGAGCTTGGCCAGGATAATGGCCCCACGAATGGCAGTGGCTACTTCCTTGGAACACTTTACATCCAGGCCAACAAGACCGTTGTAGTCCCCAACGGCGACAAATGCCTTGAACCTGGTCCGCTGGCCAGCACGAGTTTGCTTCTGCACAGGTATGATCTTCAGAACTTCATCCTTGAGGGATGTGCCCAGGAAAAAGTCAATAATCTCGGACTCCTTGATGGGTAAGGAAAAAAGGTAAATTTCCTCCAGGGACTTGATCTTCATGTCTTTGACCAGATGGCCCAGCTTGGTGACAGGAATCCACTCTTTGTCCTCGGTCTTACTGCGGCGAGCCCCACGGCTTCGGCCCGGGCCCCAGCCTCTGCTGCGCCCGCGACCTCGAAGGACACTGCCGAAGCCACCGCGGAAGCTGCCGTGGCCTCCCATGCCTGGGCCCCTGGGGCCTCCGGCCCCACCGCTGCACAGGTGTCATAAGGCATTTGGTGTTTCCCAGAAAAAGAAGCTTAAAAAAATTTTAAAAAGGTCTGGGGATATAGTACCCTGCAAAGGTCCAAATTTTTTTAAAAAAGTAAATTACAGCAAATCTCGTTAATACAAGTGGTGTTCAGGCTACTGAATATAGCAAAAAAATAATAAATTATGCTGTGGGTATTTTTTTTTTTTTTTTTTTTTTTTTGTGGAACCAGGGATTGAACTCAGGCCCTTCTACTTGCCAGGCAAGCACTTATTGTACTGAGCCATCTCCTCAGCCCCTGCTGTGGGTATTTCTGAAGAAGGAAATCTTTCACAGGCAATTAAGCATGGCCAATCCTCTCAAGAGCTCTAGAATTCAAAAGAATCTACTAATTATTCTCTTAAAAAATAATTCAGGGGCTGAGAGGTAGCTCAGTGGTAGTGTGGCTATCTAGCATGCCAACAGCCGTAGCTTTGAGCCCCCCACCACAAGAACAATAACACCAGGCCGGCATGCTGGTACACATCTAGCGGCAAGAGACCACTGTGGTTGGAGGCAGCCTGAACTACCTTGTGAGACCCCATCTCGAAAAAGGAAGCAAACCAAAACCAAACAAAAACAAATAAAATGCTAAATTCAAAGCAGTAGTGAGTCCTTTAAATTGCCTGAACCCTTTGAAGTGTCCGATTAAAGCGGCACTCAAAGCATGCCTTTTTCCTCAAAATCTTCAAAATGCACTGTAAGGCTCTGCCAGGAGACACAGCACCACCAGGCAGCAACGGCACAGCGTCTGCAACAGCCTCAGACACGCAGGCGCCTTTACTACAAAGGCGGCGTTCGGGAGCTTCGGGAGGCTTCTGGTTAACGCAATGATGGAAAGCATGCACGCACGCACACCCTCTAGCCCACAGAACAGTTCCAGACAACAATCACTGCAAAGAATTATTACACTGATTTTTAAAAACTTATATGGTCAGTTAATATAACTTACACATTTCACCTCAGGATAGTAAAGAAAACAGTACAAATATATAACAAAGTAGTTTATCAAAAATGTTTAATCTGGGGCTGGCGAGATGGCTCAGTGGTCTAAAGCACCTACTTGGAACAAGCTTGGCAAAGCACAGGGACCGCGGTTCGATCCCCCAGCAC